AGGGATCGCACAGCAGAGCATGTTCTAAGCCAGGGTTTGATATCTCCTAACCATCACGGTTTTGTGCAGAAGAAGTCCTTGCTTCATTTCATGGACGAGATCACTAAAAGGCTTGATCGGGAGGAGCGTGTGGAAGTCTGTTACTTAGACTTCCAAAAGGCATTCGACTCAGTCAACCACCGACTGTTGATCAAAAAACTAAAGACCTTCCGACCGTCTGAACAAGTTGTCAGATGGATTTCGGGGTACCTACTTGGCCGGTCCTTCTGTGTCATGGTAGAAGGCGAAATGTCTACTAGGGGGGGCAGCCTGTAGTGGTGTGCCCCAAGAGTCCGTGCTGGGACCTCTACTATTCCTCATCTACATTGATGATCTGACCAAGAAAATAGTACAACCGTCCTTCCTGTTTGCCGATGATGTAAAAATTATCGGTGACTCCTCCACCAACGCCATTCAAGATGACCCACATGCAGTCCAGAAGTGGACGGGGGAGTGGCTGTTACCACTGAATGCTATCAAGTGTAAACAGCTTCTCTTAGGGGGATCCATTGAAGAGGCGAGGTTGATAAATGGCACGGGACCCTTACCGGTGGAAACAACTGAAGAGGTCAGGGCTCTAGGTATCGTCATGCATGGTTCCTTTCAGCCGACCAGACAGTGCCAGCTAGTCTCAGCCAAGGCTTCTAAGGCACTGTTCTTGCTGAGAAGAACAGTAGAATCGAGGGACCCTGCAATCTTACTGCCCCTCTACAAGGCCTTGGTGCGCCCACACCTCGAGTACTTCGTATAGGCATGGGCGCCGAACCTCGTACGCGACCAAAAGGCTCTAGAGCGCATTCAGAGACGATTCACTAGGTGTTTTACTGCCCTAAGAACGATGTCGTACCCGAGGCGCCTGAGAGAGCTGAACCTGTTCTCCCTACGTCATAGACGAATGAGAGGTCACCTAATAGAGGTTTTCAAGATACTGAAGGGACTCTCACAGCCGAGCAGGCAACTCTTCTCCCTCAGTGAAAACCCAACCCTAAGTGGTCAATGCCTGGAATAGACTTCCTAACGAGGTTGTCTCGGCGTCTTCATTGACGCGGTTCAAACAACAGCTTGATGAGGTGTGGGACAACCTTCCCTGAATCAGCCTAAGGAAAAAAGCAACAGTCCTTGGTGGTAGCTATTACCTTTAGCTTTCCCAAACACCACTCCCATTCCATCTTTACTTTTAATTATATCATTCCATTTTATTTCATCTACCCCCACTTCATCTCCCGCTCCCTATAACTTCCTCCCCGTACTAGCTAACTTTCTTACTTGCTGAATTACTCACGTACTTTTCCCTTCGCATCCTAATCTATCTTAACATGCCTGCGGGTCATCTACTGTCGGCTGGAGGGGTACTCTGACCTCCTGGTTAGCCTGTGACTGATCAGCCGGTGCTGCTCCCATCTACAGCAAACAGGATTGACGTCCCTGCTCCGCGGCCGTAGCCCTGCACCACAAAGGAACGATCTAGCAAACTATCGAAGCGTTACGAGAATCACGTGGCCCGTAGACCCAAGACCCTGGACCATTATACCGGCTCAAACTGTACATCCTGTGAACCGTCCTGTCCTGTCCTGTTCTGATTTCCTCAGATCATTCGAGAGCATCGGGGAAGCAGTTCGACACACTAGGGATCTATCCAAGTTACTCCTCATGGGAGGGTTCAAGTTGACCAAGTGGATGTTCAACAGTCGTCATGCGATCGATTGCGTCCCAGTTGACGAGCGGGCGCTGAGTCTCCGTGAATTGCAGGGGAGTCCGTTACCAACAGATAGAGCAATTGGTGTGCAATGGGATTCGGAGAAAGCCGAGTTTTCGTTCCAACTCCAGCCATCTGAGAAGACGGCGACTCGCAGAGGAATTCTGTCTTCGTTGGC